CCGATCAAGCCCGAGGGATTGAGGTGCTTCACATCTGCTTGGTCTGCACCCTGCTAAAGAAACAACATGGCGTGTACTGACAAGCTTGGTTCGCGTCAAGTGAAGACGTGACGCAATGACGCTACTGTTTTATTAAGCAGGCGTGACGCCCCTCCTGTGGCACATAACGCCTACAGCATACTTACCATGTCAGCCACAACCACACCATAATGGCTAACATATTACCATCCAAAAGGAACAACATACTGATCCACGATAGCGATTCCGTTGTCCACGATATAAAAAGGAGTCAGAGCAGTAGGTTTAGTAGTGAATCCGCCGCAACCTCTTGGTTATGTGGAAACTGCTGTTGCTGTTGGCTATTCTAGATTAGGCGTTGTCACAACAGTTCGTTGGCCCATTCGTTTTTTCAGAGCGGGTAAAGATATCTCACCAAGTTGAACTTACCGGTCCATGATATAATCTCCATGCATACCCACTACCTTTCGCCAACGATCGGGTAGAGAGGCAACTCCATCCTCCCAAAAGCTGGCCGGCCGCGACTCGGCCCAGTCCTCGATCACGTCCTCGAGGTCGCGCTCGTTCTTTCAAGCACCTGTTTTCCGTCCAAGAAATTTTGCATGGACCGGAAGATGTGGTAATCGCATGGACTAATGTCCGGGCTATACGGTGGATGCGTGATCGTCTTGATGCCCAGCCTGTCCAGGACGGCCTGAGTAACTCTCGCTTTGTGGGGCGCGCGTTGTCTCAGAGCAACCACGGATTTGCAAGTTTCTGGGAAAGGCGGCAGCTTTCACCTTGACCTCCTGCAATTCTTTAGAGAGGGTCTCTGCCGTCACTGTGGCATTGTTGGGTAGGATGCTGTAGTGGACGACGCCGTGGCGAGAGAACCAGAAACCTCGGCATATCTTCGATGCCATAGTTTTCATTGGTGAGGCGAGTCCACCATTTTGACATCCAGTTCTTAGAAGGGGTGTTATTACCAAACTGCTGACGCATCCTGGTCGTGGCCTGACGTCTGGAGATGCCCAGGTTGTAGTAGTCCAGCAAACATCGGCGGTGGTGGTGACTATCACTCATCTTCACTGCTTTATTGTGGGAAGAGCAGGAAAGGAAATGAAGGCTAGTAGTCAGATATAGCCCATCGCGAGTACTTTCAGTGCGAAATCTTTATGCAAAATCACAACGCGTTGCGTAACGCGACGCTGTTTACAAATGGCCAACGAACTTTGTGGACACCCTAATAGAATGTGATTAAGGGGTCCGCATTGCAAGCGGAGGAGTCTCAGCAGGTTAGGGCCTAACCTGAAAAGATTTCATATACACTGATTTCGGATTCCAACAATTCTTACCGCTGAGCACACTAATGCGAGCATACCGGCTGAACCTTTGCAAGCTCTCCATGAGAATGAAATGGAAATGTCAATGAAATACCTTTCAAAAATGAGTGGTTTCGTAAAATGAACTGGAATAGGAGTGAGAGTGCTGAGGGGAAGGAGCAAGGACCTCTGTGACCTGGAACTTCAATGGAATATGGGCAAATCGAAACTCTTGGAACACAGCCAACGTTGAGCGGAAGGTTGGTGATAGCACCTGAACCACCGCATTGCTCGTTGGCGAGCTAAAAAACTGAGGAAATCCCAATGCTCCTCGTCTGAAGTGCCTCTCAGTGACCATAAGTGTAGAGAGCGGACTAGTACTACAATAACTAACCAAAAGATATTGTTCGTTGCCATAAAGTGACTTTAGCATGTGAAAAGCAGTGATAGTGTTGTTTATCTCAATTATCAGCCTGTTCATGGTGCTCTCACCATTTCTTCCTGCGAGGATGGATACCCGACCATACATCCGAACATCGGCCATACATGGCTAAAACAATATGATAGACGCTGTGTCAAGAAGTATATCCGCCGCGTAGTGGTGGTCTGGAGCGGTCACCAGCGATGGAATTCTTCCACCGTTTCTTCCCTTTCTCAAACATCGCCACCGCCGACATCACTACGAGCGGGAAGGGCAGAGCTGGACTTGTGCCACTCCATCTTTGACAAAGCTCTCTTTCCCCGACTGATGGCGACAATATTAAACACTACCATCTGTTCTTCCGGGGAAGCCCAACAATTTCCTTACTACGTGCGAAAACCGTGCTTTTCAGAAAAGGGAATTCTAGTAGCATAAGCGCAAGCGTGGTGGCTGGCTGAAGAAGCAGCATTAGTCCAAAACAAACAATGTTAAAAAAGGACAGCAGGTTCATATAAAGATCCACAATCACTGAAATGGCACAGAAAGACCCTTCCGAGTTGTGTATGGCCAGTATGCGAGGAGTAAACGACTCCCACCAGAAAACTGGTTCGAGATGGTGAGCTGCACGTGGATAGATCGCCGAGAAGTCCATAGAGGTGGCTGATGTCTTATTGTTAGCACGAAGCAACGTCCACGCCCCATGTTTCCAGAATACCCACAAGGAAGACCTGAGAGCCATGAAGATTTTCTAGCATTAGAGCGGAATTACATTATATTATATTATATTATATGTGGCTGTAGCGCAAGCAATCTCTAAATGACTGCTTCCGCGCGCGAAAATGAAGTTTGAGGTGGGTAATACGTGTCTTGGAGATGCTCACCGTACACGCACCGCAGTCCAATTTCTTCCAACTCCAGAGAGATGTTCTCCCCTACTTTAGATGACACCATCAGATCATTTCTAGCTCAGCCGAGGAGGGCCGAGAAGGGAAACAAGCGGGGATCGACTAGGTACTCTTGAGAAGACTGACTCTCGTAAGAATTAAGGACTATCAAGGTACTGCCAGAACTGGCTTCTGAGCTCTGAGACTCCTCACTGTCGAAGTTACTATAGACCTCTGCAAGAGAACCAGTGTAGAGTAGGATCTGTCGGTGTTAACTGACCCAATAGAGAACTATCACCTCAGTCGGAGAATGTTAGAAAAGCGCTAGAGCGTAAGGCGATGTCGGATGACGGTTGGGTTCAAATACAGCCTTGTTCGTTGCGCATGATAAGGCGTGTCTGCGAGGCTGGGCCTAGTGGCCGCCACCTCGTTCTCCACAACTGTTCAAGCGGTTAAGCAACAACAATTGGTGGAAAACGATTGATACGAACTACATGATACAGTCTTGCCGCGTGTTCGCCTCAATAACTGGTGGGAAACGGGATTGGCGCTGCGCCAAGCGCAGCCCAAACCTCGTGGAGTCCCCCATTACCCGCAGCGAATAAGGCTGTAATTCGCCCGCACTTGTCTCCACAAAATCCGCATAGCATGAACTAGTCATTGTTAGGGTCCCGGTTTCCTTTCCTACTGGACTCATTCGCCCTGTACACTAGCTCTCTTATCCAACTTTCCTGCACCTGAGGGGGAGGGGCAAAGCATTGTCAACAGAGAACGTGTCGTTACGTCCCAGCTTATGCTGCGTAAGATCGCCAATGACTGGGCATGACGCGGATACTCCATCCTGCTAGATATTCCTCGTAACAAACGGCTCAAATTCACCACGCTCATGGAAAAGCCTGGTCTCTGGATCTTGCACCTTCAGTGCGTTCCGTAGAATCGTGCCCCTTGCCACAGCTTCTGCACGGTATACGAGGGCACCTAGCAATTAACAACCTTATAGATGATATTGAGATCCTGTTTGACAAAACGTCCCATAGTATTCCACTAAAGCATTCCAAAAAACAGAACCAGCTGTTGCAACACCCTTCACAAATTCATGTTTTTCTTTTGGCACAACTCGAATATATATAAACTCCTTTTAGGGCCCAAATACCGTAGCTTGTATGCGGTTTGAAGGAAGAAGCTCTCGAGACGGGCTGTGCAAACCAAAAGTTCAACAAGGATTAGCTCTTAGAAGCGCTCTGGTAAGCAGTATTTCAGGGTGTGAGAAAATCAAGGAACACAACCGGGCAGTTAATTGAAATTGTGAAATATTACGGCGTAAAGTCTGAAATAGTGTGGCTTCCAAGAAACATTTCTGTGTTCAGAGCACTCCACTCCGCGAATTGAGAGCGGAGAGGTTAAAGTGGATAAGTGATAAGAGATAGAAGTTGGGAGATGAGTCTAGGAAGAAGAGGAAGCGAGTAGAGGTCGCCGGGTAAAAAGGCAAGACAGCGCTGATGTTTTCTGCCTGATAGGTGCCAAAGTGGGGAGAGGGCCTTTTGGCGAAAACAGTTTGAAAGACAAGGCTTGAATACTAAATTTGAGCGAGTAATATGGACGGCGAATGAATTTAATAGGGAGCTTAAGGCTAGACAGAAGGAACGTGGGTAGGAGAGTGTAAAATACGGTCTGTTTGAGTTACAGCATTTGTCGATAGAGAGGGAGAGCAGAGACTCAGTAGAGAGTACATCTGCAAAGAGCACTAGCAGCGCAGACTGCATACACCACAGAGCCGACGGGCAGGCAACAGCTTCGAACGCCATCACCTACCTACCCACACCCCACTACAACACCCCCCCAGTAAATAAGTAGTCGGGGGCGACCACTAGAGGATAAGTTTAAGCACAATAAACTTAAACATTGGGGCAGCGCGGTCTAGCAGAGAGGATCTTTATTCATGAGAGTTTAAACCTGGTACATGAAGAAAACGAAAAAATAGAAGGGCACACACCGATATCAGGCACAATTGAGTGCGCCAAATCAGAAACCGATTTGCCAGCTGGATCCACGCTTGCTCTCCATTTCAGTCATCAAACCTTAAGACAAAAGGCGGCGCGTTAAAAGAGTTGAGTGTTGGGCGACAGTCCAAAGTCGCTTTTCGCCGCTGTCGTTGCAGCTTAGGATGGAAGTTGACGGAAAGACTGCTCTAGGGCAGCGCTTCATTTCCCGCCGCGCCCCCCCTTTTAGACGCTCTATCGTTTACAAGAATCCTGATTATCTGTCGACATTGTTTGCAACCATACAAATACAAAGTGCTTCCAGAAAGAGTGCGAACGTCATAAAAACAACATCTTCGAATGTCCATGTGTAGGCGAATACCATGAATGTATCGAGATGGGAAAGGTACGCTTGCAATTCCCTCTGATCATTGGAGATCTTGACGTTTTTTTTCTGTAAGCTTGAATTTTGTCGGAAATTGACTTATTATTTGAGCCTGTTGCATGAAGTATTGTGTGGAAGGCCGTAGAAACAGCTGTGAAATGAAAAGAAAAAAACATGCCGCTTCTCCCTACCTCCTTCCTTTCTCTCTTTTAGGTAGCCTCTGAGCACAGTGATGAAAAGTTATTCGGTGTCCTTACCTCAGAAAAAAGGCTATCGCGCTTGGCGAGACAGGACGGGCCACGAGGGTGGGAAAACAAATGAGGGTGCAAAAATTATAACAATCTTGGACGGCTCAATCTATACACCTGTTTGAAAATGAGGGTGCGTTCGGAGGAGAGGAATCGGCAGAGCGCTGCCTTCGAGTGCAATGATTAGAGAGAAGTACAACGTTCGTGACTTGACGCTGATATCATGTGAGGTCAGCCAAGATCCCTGCAATCGATAGGATGTGCGATGGGGTGTGGAATGGAGCGCAGTTAAAACAACCTTTCCGACCAATGATGCCATCCTGGGTCGGAAGCAGCTGGCGGGAGGCGTTGTTCTGGCTGCGATCCAGCTCACGCCCTTCATACACCCTCTCGTTTGCATGGATCGCGACCATATATGCGCTTTATTCGAATTTGTGCTTCGTTTCACTTCTACATTACAAATGTTAACAACCTTTTTTCTTTCTTTCGTTATCGAATGGCAATGGCAAACGAACTAGTAGTCCTAATATCGCTGCTTTCAGCGTTTCTTTCGCAAACAGAATGATTTCAATAATGATTTCTCTTGCAACAGTCAACTCATGGCCTTACTGAATGCAAAATACCATAAGTGGGTAACTTCAACGAACGCAATCACTACCACGAAATCTGCTACAGCAGAAGATGAGCCACTTACCACAGTTATTCACACATTGACTGAGGCAGTCACTGTAAAGGAAATCGCACCGCCGGATTCATCGAGATCGCCGGATTCATCGAGATCGCCGGATTCATCGAGATCGCCGGATTCATCGAGTTCGCCGGATTCATCCAGATCGCCGGATTCATCGACAGGTTCTTAAACAATCAATTTACTTCCCTTCAACCTCCTTAGCAACAACTGTCCGAAAAATTGTACAATTTT